CTCAATCACATTAATTTATTTTTGTTCTGTACATTTAAATACACCTTTACCTAGCTGGATTGTTGAAAGAGAAGAGTTAATTTATTTCCATTTATTTTTCTTTTTTTATCACCAAGACAAACTGCAGCAAAAGCTAATATTGAAGATTACCCTTGGATTACGAAACACATAATTGTATTCATTATATTATAAAATTATTTAAAGGGACACTATAGTCATCAGAACAAGTACAGCTTAATGTAGTTGTTCTGGTGAGAATAATCATTCCCTGTAAAGACAGTGTTTACATTGCCCCCTAGACACACCTCCAGTGGGCACTCCTCAGATGGCTACTGTGGGTGCTTTCTGGGACAGTGCTGCACAGTGTGACTGACATTCAGTGTCTACACACTCTGCATGGAGATGCTGAACTTTCCTCATAGAGATGCATTAATTCAATGCATCTCTATAAGGAGGTGCTGATTGGCCAAGTCGGCGTTTGGTCCCATCCCATCTCACCTCTTTGCCTATTTCAGTCAATTCAATGCTTTCCCCATGGGAAACATTGGATTAACTGAAATCATAAATTCTGATGATGTCAGCAAGGAGGCAGATCACAGTAGGGGCCAGCGCCAGCGGACCCATGCGATGCTGATAAAAAGGTACGTTTTATTCCCATTTAAGGGGAATAAGAGGGGCAAGCCACCTAAATGGTAGTTTTAAAACTATAGAATCAGGAATATACATTTGTGTTCGTGACCCTATAGTGTTCCTTTAACTTTCATCACTCACAAACAAGTTCTCATCTTTTTCTCTTTAGTCAACTGTTGTGTTACTTTTCAAATATAAATAATGTTGCAAATATACATGGCCACAAATGTGTTACATACTAATAAATATAGTAATAAAAATAAAATACTAATCTAGGTTAAAAAAAATTTACTTTATCAAAATTCAGACCTCCTGGTGTGTCATACAATACCTGTTACTTTCCTTTAAATGTTAATACGTGCACACCATTTGAATTCTTATTGAATACTGACATATTGCTGGACTAATTTTAAAGCACAATTACTCTGTAGCTTTGATGGTGATGTAGGAGAACTCTTTAATCCAGTACATATATTCCCACCTTGTAAGCAAGCCAAGTACTGAGCTGCTTTGAATCATGAGAGCTGTAAATCAGCAGTCTGTCAAAGCAAGTAGTTGCTGCTGCTGATTACATGTCACATAAATCATAGCCACTTCACTGCAGAATTCTTGTATTCTGTCATTTACATCTTCTGTGGTAAGGAGACAGAGCCTGCAATTCTGAAAACCATAGGAGGACCAGGATTAGCCCCTGGATGTCCGTAAAGGAGCTGTAGATTTGTGGGAAACAAGTGAAATGCGAAGGCGATTCAAAAACAAAATTTACGTCTTTATTTGCATATTTCACCCCCCGCATAATGCATTAAAACACAAATAGAAAAAAGCTTACACTTTAATAATTACAGTCAAATCACTGCATCAAAAATGGTCATGATGTTTTAGCGCAGGATTTAGATGGGAAACATTGTGATTGGATGTATCAATACAGCTAATAATCATGTTATATATCTGCGAGAATGCTCTGTGAGTGCATGTTTTGTTTGTTTCTTGTCTGTTTGTATTTCCAATGGTTTTTAGATTTAAAGGATACCATTACCTACTTCATTGGGCATTAGAAGGGAGTAGTGTCGACATCGTTTGATGTGTATATTTGATCACCTGACGGTGGTGGTGGTGGTGGTGGTGGTGGTGGTGGCGTGTGTGTGTGTGTGTGTGTGTGTGTGTGTGTTCCTTCCAAATGGGTTCCATGTTCCTTTGTCCATGCACACAGCTGCTTGTAATCACAGTCATATATAAGGCTAAATCAGATAGATGTAAAAAAAAAAGGAAGCATATACTATCCTCAATCCATTCAAATACATGTAAGGCATGAGCATCCCTGTGCAAGTTCTCACATAATCACACAGGCTTCATAGCAGTTTCGCTATTTCTTACTGTGCAGTTGTCAGCTAAGGCATGCCTCCCAAATGTCCTGCTTTTGGCAGGACAGTCCCGATTTCTGGGTTATGTGTTGCAGTCACAACTTTGTTTCCTGTCCTTGGTCTTCCCATAGCATCATTTGACATACTCACGCTGTACTAGGACCATGTAGAGAATGTTTCAGCAACACTATCTGCAGAGTCCTCTATTTAGGGGCCAGGTGGGAGGCTGTCTGTGAGCATGGCATGCTGGAGGACAGGTTCACATGCCCCTACAGAAGGCAAATGCTTTTTAGGTGGAATGAATTAATAAAATATCTTTTAATATGTCCCTGAATAAATTGATCAATCCAGCATTTACCAGTGGAGTCTTATTCATTGGCTTAGTATGTTACGGTAAAGTAAACCCAACACACAGCGTGTAACCTACAACTAAAAGAAAGTTTTACCGAACTGTAGGATGGCTGGGCTTAATGTGGTACACAAATAGAATAGTCAGGAGAATACCAGGATGCCAGAAAATGGGAGAATGATAAATGATTAGCTGATGTCAAAACCCAGATAGACAATGCAGACAGAATATAGATTATAGGGAACAAAATATTAAACCACAACAGGGCACCATACAAGGCAAAATACACCCTATGTATATGGGAGCATCTTTTGCTTTAAGGCCACGGCCCAAGAACGTTCTGGGGCAGTAATAACGCAAATCTGCATCATCACTCTTATGGCGTTGACGCGCTTGCATCGCGTCATGAAAAGGGGAGTTATCGTAACGTCCGGCATCAGACATGCTGAGCACCCAGAGAGAGGAGTCTGCTTCAGGGACATCAACACGTGGGCTCCTTGGAGCGAGTTAAGATATCACGACAGGTTAGCCCAAAGCTTATAGGCCAATCATGCTATCCAGGTTGGACAACATTGACTGATAATGTACATGCACATGTTTTTTCATAAGTAATCAACCCAGGTTCTACAAATGAGGTATTCTGACACTTTTTTATGTTGCCGTTTAGCGAACACTGTTTAAATCAATACAAATCAAGATTATTCTGCATATTTTGAATTTATTCACTAAACAAACTGCAGTAAACTGAAGACTGAATTGCAAACTTAGGTAAAATATGCTGATTTTAAAACAATTTCCAACTCATCTGTACTCAAAACTTGTCTCTTTTAGCCTAAATGCTACATGTTTTCTTTTCCAATTTAAAGGGAAACTATATTTCCAGGAAAATTCTTAAAACTGCAATAATTACCTTTGCAGGGTAAGGGCCTTGGGACAGTGCATCCAGATCACTTCAATCAGCTGAAGTGGTCTGGGTGCCCATAGTGTCCCTTTAAGTGAAAGCAGGCTCATGGAGAGTAAGAACAGAAACAGCCTGTGAGACATTTAGTGAAAAGATAGAGAGACTGTTGAGATATTTAAGAAACAGAGACTGGGAAACATTTTAGGAGAGAGGCATAGTGAGCACACATTTAGGAAAAGAAAGAGCCACGCTCTCACTAACACACACCCAGAGTCACTTAAACACTCTCACTAACACACACATTGTCACTTGCACACTATCACTAACACACACACACAGTCACTTGCACACATTGTCACTTACACACTATCACTAACACACACAGTCACTTGCACACATTGTCACTTACACACTTTGACTAACACACACAGACACACACTGTCACTCAAAAACTCACACCACTTTGCATAAAGTCACACATTATTTACACACACAAATACAGCTATTTAAAACACACACCAATTTACAAACATGTACACAATAAACAGTCCCCCTTAGCCTGCCATACCTGGGTGCTGTGAAGAGGAGAGGGGTCCAGCCTGCAGGAAGTTGTTCATTCTGGTGGGGGAGCAGGACAACTGCGCACTGTGAGCACATGCTGCTTCCTGTTCCCCTCAGAGAATTTCTGGTTTTCACAGGCAGGGGGCAGCCGGGATACCAGGTCATGTCCCGGCTTCCCTTGGCTGCAGGAAAGCATAATGCTCTGCTCGGGTGCTGGGGTTACTGTGAACCCCTCTCTCTGAGCAGGCAAGTGGCGGAGAGGAGCCCAGCAGCTGAATGGCTGTGTTGGGGGGTGGCTAAGGAGCCGCTCGCCCAGCACACCAGCCCAGACAGCAGTAGAGCAGCCCACCTGGAAACTTTCTGGTGGGCGCCGCCCCAGTGACCGGCGCCCCAGGCGAACGCCTTATTTACCTAATGGTAATGCCAGCCCTGGTGCTAGAGAAGGTAATTGGGATAGGGTGAATATGGCAGAGCAATGGGAGGTGAGTATAGCATGGGTGAGTGACAGGATTGGGGGAGTTATTGTGAGTGTGGCAGGGTGAGGGAGTGGCAGTGTGTGTGGTGGGGTGACAATTACACAGACACACATGCAGATAAACAGACAAACACACACTGACATACATGCAGATACACACCATATAACACATACAGATACCTACACTGACACACTTGCTGATACACAGACACACATACAGTTGGAGATACACACACAACAATACATACAATACATGCACAGACATACATAGACACAAACAATGACACACATACCGATACAGGCACACACTGACACACATACGGACACACAGACACACATGCAGATACACACACCTAATGACAAACATTCATATACACAGAATGACACTCATACAGATACAAACAGTGACACACTTACAGATACATAGGGCACACACTGACATACAGATACAAATACAGACAGACACATAGACACACACATACATACATACATACATACATACAAACACATGCAAAATGTTTTAGTCACCCTCCTGATTCAAACCTTTTAGGTGCAGAAGGGTGACTTCCCAGGGGTACAGTGGCTGGCTCAGGCTGATGGGAGTCAGAGTTCCCACTCTGACTACTTCATGTCCTTCCTGCTCCCGCACGGCTCTTAGTGGTTGGTGAGAGGAAGTGACTGGGGCTGTCACTTCTTCCCAGCACTCTGACCTCATTACAGGGAGTCTGGTTGTGCTATTAAAGCGTCACAGCACTAACCGGACCCCTGGAACTACATTGCATTGGGTGGCCCTAACAGCATGGGCCACCCGATGGGCCCTTAACCCCTTAAGGACCAAACTTCTGGAATAAAAGGGAATCATGACACGTCACATGTTGTCAGGTATAGCATGGCATGTATTTCGCCGTCGGAACCCACTTTCGGGTTCACGGCGCTTAGCCCCGCCCCTTTTTTCTGACGCGGTCCCTCCACGATACTTAGGAAGACCGCGCCAGATTCAAAGGGCTGGATTATTCGCACAGGTGCTGCAGAGAGATCAGCTGCTCTACTTTGATCCTACCTGCTCCACTTCTAGACCTCGGCTTGTAAAACGGATTTCTACCTTCTCCACTTCTCGACCTCGGCTTGTAAAACGGATTTGTACCTTCTCCACTCCTAGACCTCGGCTTGTAACACTGAATTCTACCTTCTCCACTCCCAGACCTCGGCTTGTTAAAACGGACTTCCACACTCTCCACTCCTAGACCTCAGCTTGTTAAAACGGACTTCTAATTTCTCCTCCATTGGGTGAATTAACCCTTCCAGTGCCAGAACTGCCTTTAAGTTAAGTAAAACTTTTGCCAAACAAGCCAATTCCTATTATTTATGTTACACAGTATCTAAAGCTCACTAAAGTGTCACTTTGTCAAGCTATTCCTCTTATTCATAAGGGATTGCTACTAAGGCTAATTCTTCCTGCAATAATCAACTTATTCTAATTGCAAGCCTGTCCAGCTTCATTAATAAATTTCTCAAATTTATTCCATCTTAATTAAGTTGGAAACTAGCACTGCCTATTTCCTTGCATGTGTATTTAAAGATACAGTAACCATTGTTTCATATCAGTATAAAAAGGAGGTGAAACTTATTGTTGCTGCAATCAGAAAATTCTGCAGTTGAGTTCCAATTAAAGAAGTATTACAAAATAAGTATTACACGTGTCATGTGTCCTTAAGGGGTTAAAGGCACGGCCCCAGTGGGCGGTAGTAGCGCACGGGCTGGGTCCGCAACACATGGCCCCGGTCGCAGGGGTGCACAGGGTGGCCGGGTCTTCTGGAGTGAAGGGGGTGACAGTGTGTGTGGTGGGGTGACAGTTACACAGACACACATGCAGATAAGCAGAGAAACACACACTGACATACATGCAGATACACACCATATAACACATACAGACACATACACCTGTACTCATGCTGATACACAGACACGCATACACATACAGATACACAAAAATACACACCCTGACACACATGCAAATACACAGACACACAAACTAACACACAGATACACAGACACATATATATATAAACACATGCAGATACACAGAATGACACTCCTACAGATACAAACACTGACACATATGGATATATATGGTGTTGTGGAGAGAGGCACTGAGGCTGGTGGTGTTGTGGAGAGAGGCACTGAGGCTAGTGGTGTTGTGGAGAGAGGCACTGAGGCTAGTGGTGTTGTGGAGACCGGCTTGGAGAATATGGTGAGGCCTAATAGAAAGCAGTTGTTGTTGGGGGATTCCATTGTTGGGGGATTCCATTATAAGAGGTGTGGAGATGGACAATGGTGGTCTTGTGAGGTGTCTTCCCGGAGCTACTGCTCACAGAGACAGGAGACGTATCTGTAACTTTGGGAGGACTTTGGGAGGTTTTACCCTTTATATTTATACTATTTATATTGATTTTATTATTTTTTTTCAAATAAATATTTTTTCTCTGGAACATATTATATCTTCACTGCCTAACAGAAGTCATACTCCAACAAGTACCATCAAAGAGGTTTGGGGATCACCCAATTAAGATCCCAGAGGAGATTCACACCAGAGCCATGTTTCATTATATGGCTCTTCCATTGTGAGTGCATAAGATTTATGCTTTATTTATATTTTGTGTATAGATATATCTGCACTATTTTGTACCTCTCCATCTTTTACAGCGAGAAAGTTAGAAGAGAGGGAAGTACATTTTTTTTAATTATTATCACTTGCTCCACCTATTTTCTGTGTGTTATGTATCTGTAATATTGTTAAGCAAGCAAAGCAGGAAGGGGAATTGGATGTACTTGTCCATCTAAGGACTAGGCTTGCAATGAGGTTTCAGAGGTTAAGGAAGTTTATAGTGTTTTTGCCAATGATATACGGCAGGTTGCTTCGACACTGTCATTTTCTGAAGTTCTGCCTGTGCATAACACTCAGAACGACAGGCGGATGAGTATTAGGGACTTTAATTTGTGGCTTGGTGAATGGTGTCGGGGGCAAGGATTTGGCTTTATTTCTCATGGTAGCTCTGTTTGGAATGGAAATAAGCTGAACAAAAAAGATGGTTTGCATCTTTCTCAAAAGGGAACAAATGTTCTCAGTGAGCAGTTCAGAGGTTTTGCTAGGATGTATTTAAACTAGGAGGGGGGGCAAAAGGGTTATAAAACATCAATCCAATTGTCCCCCAAAACAAGGACAGAAGGTGCCTGTAGTAAGTGTGTTAAAAAATAATAAGCTTAGAGTCATGTCTACAAATGCTTGCAGTTTAGGGAATAAGATCCATGAACTTGTGGCAATAATGGCAATAATGGTTACTGAGACATGGTATAATGAGAAAAATGACTGGGACATAGCAATACCAGGGTACTCTTTATATAGCAAAGATAGGGAAGGCAAGAAAGGGGGAGGGGTGGCCTTGTATGTGAAGTATAGCATAAAATCTAGCCTAATAAAAGTTAGTGAGGCGAAAATAGAGTCCGTTTGGGTTACGTTAGAATTTGGTAATCACACAGTGATATTTATAGGCCCCCAGGACAAATTGAAGAGTTAGATAATCTACTAGTTGAGGAAATAGCTAAAATGACAATGAAGGGGGAAGTTATCATCATGGGTGACTTTAATCTTCCTGATGTAAATTGGAAAACAAAATTAGCTACTTGTGCCGGGAGCACACATATTCTAAACTCCCTACTGGGATTGTCTCTAAAACAAGTTGTTGAGGAGCCAACTCGTAAAGAGGCCATACTAGATTTAGTGTTAACAAATGGAGATTTGGTATCAGATATTACTGTAGGTGAAAGTTTAGGATCCAGTAATCATCAGTCAGTGGGGTTTAATATAAGAACAGTGACACAAGTTTTAGACTTTAGAAAAACAGACTTTTCTAAAATAAGAATATGTGTAGAGGAGTCATTATCAGACTGGAGCAATTTAAATGGAGTCCAAGAGAAATGGGATTATTTAAAAGTTGCACTATTGAAGGCAACAGAAAATTGCATTAGGCTTGTCAGTAAAAGCAAAAATTCAAGAAACCACTGTGGTACTCCGCAGATGTGGCCAAAATAGTTAAAAACAAAAAGTTAGCATTTAGGAATTATAAAAAAACCCAGAGTGAGGGAGACAAAATGATCTATAAGATTAGGCAGAAAGAGGCTAAGCAAGTTATAAGAGCTTCCAAATCACACACAGAAGAGAAAATAGCACAGTCAGTAAAAAAGGGGATAAAACATTTTTAGATACATAAATGAGAAATGAAAAGTAAAACAAGGATTAGTTAGATTAAAAACAAAAGAAGGAAGGTATGTAGAAGAGGATAAAGGTCTAGCTGACTGCCTCAATGAATATTTTTGTTCTGTATTTACAGATGAAAATGAAGGAAAGGGACCTCATTTAAGAAAAAGGATAAATTAGTCATTTATTACACGTGAGTTTACAGAGGAAGAGGTTCTATTTCAACTGTCAAAAGTAAAGACAAATAAGTCAATGGGACCTGATGGAATACACCCAAAGCTATTACAAGAGCTTAGTGGTGTACTAGCAAAACCATTAACAGATTTATTTAACCAATCATTGTTAACAGGAATAGTTAGCAGAAGATTGGAAGTTAGCAAATGTTGTGCCCATTTACAAGAAAGGTAATAGGGAGGAGTCGGGCAACTATAGGCCAGTAAGCCTTATTTCAGTAGTGGGGAAAGTGATGGAAACCATGTTAAAGGATAGGATTGTTGAACATCTAAAACACATGGATTTCAAGATCAGAGACAACATGGGTTTACTTCAGGGAGATCATGCCAAACTAATCTTATTGATTTTTTTGATTGGGTAACTAAAATTATAGATCAGGGTGGTGCAGTAGACATTGCTTGCCTAGATTTCAGTAAGGCTTTTGACACTGTTGCACATAGAAGGCTTATCAATAAACTGCCATCTTTAAGTTTGGATTCCAATATTGTTGAATGGGTAAGGCAGTGGCTGAGTGACAGGCAACAGAGGGTTGTAGTTAATGGAATATATTCAAAGCTTGGACTTGTCACCAGTGGGGTACCTCAGGGATCTGTACTTGGACCCATTCTCTTTTATATTTTTATCAGTGATATTGATAAGGTGTTGATGGTAAGGTATGTCTTTTTGCTGATGTTACTAAGATATGTAACAGGTAGTGATGTCCCGAACGGTTCGCCACGGATGGCGAACATATGCGCTGTTCGGTCCGCCCCCTATGTCATCATTGAGTAAACTTTGACCCTGTACCTCACAGTCAGCAGACACATTCCAGCCAATCAGCAGCAGACCCTCCCTCCCAGACCCTCCCACCTCCAGGACAGCATCCATTTTACATTCATTGTGAAGCTGCATTCTTAGTGACCAGGAGGAGGACCTGCCTGATTGGCTGGAATGTGTCTGCTGACTGTGAGGTACAGGGTCAAAGTTTACTCAATGATGACGAATAGGGGGCGGACCGAACAGCGCATATGTTCGCCATCCACGGCGAACCGTTCGGGACATCACTAGTAACAGGGTTGATGTTCCAGGAGGGATAATCCAAATGACAAATGATTTAGGTAAACTAGAAAAATGGTCAGAATTGTGGCAACCAACATTTAATGTGGATAAGTGCAAGATAATGCATCTTGGACGTAAAAACCCAAGGGCAGAGTACAGAATATTTGATAGAGTCCTAACCTCAACATATGAGGAAAGGGATTTAGGGGTGATTATTTCTGATGACTTAAAGGTAGGCAGACAATGTAATAGAGCAGCAGGAAATGCTAGCAGAATGTTTGGTTGTATAAGGAGAGGTATTAGCAGTAGAAAGAGGGAAGTGCTCATGCCATTGTACAGAACACTGGTGAGACCTCACTTGGAGTATTGTACACAGTACTGGAGACCGTATCATCAGAAGGATATTGATACCTGAGAGAGAGTTCAGAGAAG